ATATTGAAATATGCACGGTGAAGTTATTTCAAGAGTCTTATTCTTCTTCTATAAAAATCTTGACATAATACAGTAATAGGTTTAAATTGATTTCGTTTTTTAATTTGATCGATCAATAAAAATCATCGTATCATACCAAAATACAAAATAATTCATGCTGGAGTAAAAATTCGCACGAGATTGTACGTAGATGTTTGAATCATCAAAAATTATGACCTACATTTGAAATTCATCGCTAAAAACAATAGCTTTCTCTTCCTATTCACTCCTTTTTTAGTTTTTTTTTTCTTCACGATACTTTTTCTTTTTCTTTTTACCGAAACAACATGCAACGAGTTCCATGTAGATCATGATTAAAAGATCTCTTATACATATGTAAACTTAGATTCATGTATATACGTATTTTCTACATCTAGTTGCATAGATACTTATACATATTATACTTTTGTAGAATTTGATTTGTTATATATTCAAAAAAAGAAAAAAAAAAAGCAAAGTAGAAGGCATCGTTGGAATGGTTTTTTTCATTTATAACGAATGTTTCTCAAAATCATCAATTTTTGTTGCATGTTAAATGTTTTAAATGTTTATAAGCTATTTAAGTTAAAAAAAAAAATGATTGTGACAAATACTTCAAATGATATTAAGTTTGAACGGAATATTTTTGAATTTAAAAAGTTTTAATTAGACAAATTATTTTCCTACACGCATGCATACATTACACTGTTACATTATTAAAATTTAATCAGCAATACAGAATGGTGCAACAAGAACTCCAATATTAATCCGTTAATGAAAATTTCGTTCAAAGAGTCGTCATCTGTAACAGGAATCTAACGAGATAACCATTCATTGGACAGATATCATTTTCCACCCCTAATTCTCACATATGCACTAATTACATCGATACCAATAAACATGAACATTAATTTAATAAAAAGAACAATTTGTTGCTTTTTTTTTCTTTGCTGATTTAAAATTACATACATTCTTATTGCCCTATATTATGTTTTATTATATATTATATATTATAATAAAATATAATATTAAAGGAATCGTTCGCGAATGGGTTTTAATTTAAGGGAATATTTGAAAATCAAGAAAATATCAATAAAAATGAAGAAAAGAGATATAGAGAAAGAGAAGAGGGGAGAAATAGAAAGACAGGAATAAAAGTACATACAAACGTTACATACATGCATACATGCATACATACATACATACATACATACATAAAAACATATATATATATCGAGTCGTGTAAGATCATCATGTCAGCTCGTGGATCAAGTGGATTAGAAGGGCTACGAACAATTGTCGTCGATTGACAAGGATGGATGAAAAGAGTCCCCTTGTGAGCCCACTTGAATCGCATCCACTTTAGTACGTGCTAACACCTCCGACCATTTCGTGGGTCAAGTTCCTAAACTTTCAAAGAACCTTCCGAACGATCAGTGGTACTACGATCATTTCTTCCCAATAAACTAGGATCATCGATCAAGTAAAAAAATATAAAACAGAAATAAATTAAAAAGAAAATATTTTCGTTAAACTAAATTATATGATTGGGTGTGTTCAAACGTAGAGACCGAGTCATGCTAAAAATCTAAATTTATTTAAACAAAACTAACAGATTTGTTTATAATAAAGTATTTCTTTTCATGTTCTTATTTTTCATTTTACTTTGTAATACTTGTTGAGTAAAAATTGCCGTGCAAAACGATTTCAAGGTTTTTTGTGATACGATGATAATAATTAACACGTTGCCGCAAATGACGGCTATAGCCGTCCGATCTTCGTATTTCTAAGCACGATCGTCAAATTAAAAGTGTGCGGCAACGTGTTAAATGTAATTTCGTTTCGATAATTTGAATACTTGTTTAAACATAACGAGGTCGATATATGGTTAAGTAATTTAATACGAAATTAAAGTTAATAAATTATTGAATGTATCTCTGACGTGTTTTAAAAAAGGTCGATAAATTTTGTGATTAAATTTAACCTATATAGTTACGATTTAGATAATTGTGTTTTTGTTAACGCTTTTATCTTTTTTTTTCCCCATTTTGTTTTTTAATTCTTTTTTTAAACAAAAAAAATATGTACTCGGTGTTTCCCATTGACTCATCTTCACATGTGACCAACGCGTGTTCTACATGGAAAAAAAAATAAAAAAAAAAAAATAAAAAGTGCACATTGTAAAAAAGTAATAGATCGATAAGTAAATGACCCCTATTAAAGATCATCGATGTTTTTTTTTGCTTCAAAGTGGTGGTGTGATATCTTTGACTAATAAAACATGTGCATGAAGGTGATGGAAAACTTGTTATCAATCTAATTAATGTAAATACAAAAACGTATCATGGTTAGTTATTTTTTTTTTGGTTTTTGTTTTGAAATCAAATAGAAACAAAATTATAAATTAATAGAAGAAACAATTTCAATGAAGTTAACATACACGCCAGAAGATTTTTATTATTTTTATTTCTTAATCTGTTTCTTATCGCAGTGGTGGTGTGATATCTTTTTATTAATAAAATATGCGAGCTAAAGTGACGGAAAACTTGTTATCAAATCTAATTAAAGAAAATAAAAAGATGTATCATAATTAATTAATTTTTTGTTGTTGTATGGTTAGAAATCAAATAGAAATAAAAATTATAAATAAATAGATTAAACAATTTCAATAAAATTTTAGCACTAGCTAAAAGATTTTTATTTTCTATTTTTTATTATTTTTTTTTTTTTGTTTTTTTTTCAAAAGAAATCGTTCAACCGAATGGATAGAAATGAAGGAAAAGAATGGAGAGAAAAAAAAAAGCAAAAGTTAGAAGCCATATATCGTTGAAACGAAATTGCTACGCATTGTTCGACTTGGGTTTCTCTTTAAATAATATCGAAGGCACGCAAATTGTGTTGAAAACAACGTGCATAAAACTCTTTTACGAGCAAATTCATGGTTTCTCCGACCGGTAAATGATTCTTTTTTTTTGCGTGTATGTTATGTCTAGCAAAAGATTTTTCTTTCATTATAAAACTGTATTATTTGATAAACCGGATTTACTTACGAATGTGTAACACAAACGAATATAAAAAGAAAATATTATTTCGTTCTATTATATTTAAAAAAATAAATAAAAAATAAAAAGTAAAGAAAAAAGTTGAACTGATATTCACCTAAACCATAGAAATCATAAAAAAAAAAAGAGAGAAAAAATATTGGATCGATGAAGATTAAACGTGGATTCGAGATAATAGGAAGTACGATAAAAAGAAAAAATATGTTGCAGATGATAGACCTACCTACACCACATATATATATATATATATATATATATATATATATATATGTGTGTGTTGTATATGTGTGCGTTAGAATGAGATAAATTTAAGTGTCGTAAAACAAAAATATAATTTTATCGTTTAATAAAAATACTACTTATGATAATAAAACGATTAATTATCACACGATAAGGTAACGATAGATGTTCTCTTTGTACATTGTAACTATAAAATATTTCTAGAATTTTTTTCGAACTTAGTAAACATACATAAAACATTTTTTAAAGTGGACAATTCTATTCTATTCTTTGAACATGCAGCAGCATATATCATTCACGTAATTCGTAATAATGGAATGTTATTCTACGATCACGAGTTGCGTGTTTCGTTTAATCATTGAAAATAATGACAAGGAATTTGTCATTTCGTGTGCACATCATTGTTAATAAAGAAAAAGATAAAAGACGTTAGTTAAAGTTTCTTAACATAATAAAGAACATTATACAGTTGATTGTTAATCATATCGTATACGATCATGTTTATTTTATTACAAATTAGTGCATTTATTTTACGACAACAAATTTAATGATCGTAGGAATAATAAACGAACAGTTTTGTGTTTCATTGCATCAAACAAAAATATACTACTTCTTTGTCATTAATTATTATAAATTATTTCCTCTTAATCATTTTGTTTTTTCTACTACGATTTTTATCGTCTTCTTTTTTTTCTAAATTTATTATATTACAAAAAAATATACTTAATATCAAAAATTAATGAAAAAAAATATACCGATAAATCTCGATCCTACTCTCGACGTGTTTTTGATTACAAAAATGATTATCGATTTCGACAAAAAAATACATACAATAACGAAACAACTTCTCGCTTGTTAAAAATTTTAACCACACAAGAGTATAATATGTATTCTAAAGGTTGAAGAGGAAAACCACCGATGAATTCGTCCAATTTGTACGAAGCAACGTTTTCTCGATCTGGATAAAAGAGAAAAAGACAAAGAAATACAGAGAAAGAGAAAAACGAAAGAAAAAGAAAGAGAAAGAGATCTGTAAAAACGATCGTGGAGGTATAGCGGTACCATAAATTGGATTTCTTGCGCCTCGAGAGAAACGGAAACGTGACCGAATTGTACTTGTGTGTTTCAATACGAATAAGGATTGTTTTTAATGTATTTACATATATCTTTATATGTACAATCATACATTTCAACCTATACGGTACTTAAGAAGGCAAACACACAAGAACTGTTAAATAGAAATAATTAATACAAAAAATTCGAATACAAATGCTATTGGATATAGATGAGATTTTTAAATCATTCGATCAAAGACTGAAAATCTTTAATATTAACGATAACAAAAAGATGATAAAAAATATCTCTAAAAAATACCGATCAAAGATTAATCAAATAGCTGATAATTTAAAATAAGACAAATATTCTTTTTTTTATCATTAACAAACAATATATAGGAATGAATGATGGTGTAATGGTATACAGTTACGTTTGAAGAAGGAGTGTGATCGATCAACTCTAATTTTAAGCTTCAAATATAGACAAATTTCAGGGCTGTATTTATTAGTTCCAAGATCTTAATGGGGTTTGCTTTTTGTATTAATAGAAAAATCAAATCTTTGTTTAATTCTTTTTCTCTATGATCAAAATTGTTAATAATTATTTATTTTTTCTGTTTTTTAGCTACGTCAGCGGTGATTCTTAAAACGGAGAACGAGCAACATCATTTGTCGAGTCTGTCGGGTGACAACGTCGTTGGTGCGGGGGTGAGAATTGGTAGGGGCGAAGGCGCAATCGCAAACGAAAACAGCCAAATTATGGATTCGGCGCAATCTGCGATGATGAAGCAAGCGGACTACGTCGTAGGTTGGTGAACTTTGTTACTTATCATTTTTCACGATAATATATCACATATTTCATTGATATAAATAATCATATTATAACAGTGAATCATTATAAAGTGTCATTTGAATTTTATAAATGGTGGAACGATTTCATTCACGTATTTAATTCATCTAATACAGATTTGGATAATCAATAATATTGTTAAGATTAATTTCGTGTCCCCTTATGAGAAATAATTTTGTTACATATTTCCGATTCCGAAGTGTTTTCCTTCTCCGATGATAATAAGTTTTTATATTGATGATACGCGTAACACAGCTGCAAACGAGTAGATAACATTGAAGCAATTTCTCTTATGTTAATTTTTTCTGAAATCGATCTTTGTACAATGATGTTTTTTTTTAAATGCTAATAAGTAATATTTTATTCCATTTTTATTATTTTTATATAGATTTAATTTATTCTCTTTTTATCATACGTGTATATTTTATAGTTCTTTTTTTTTTCTTTTAGTACAAAATTAACCGTACAATATTCACGAATCTAAATATATTTATATATATAAAAAAAAAAAAAAAATTAAGAGAAACAAGTTACGAATGTCGTCCTATTAGTCACACAACTTGTCTAAAGTTCACTGTGTCATGTTTTCATAGCGATCAGTTGTAAAACGAAAAAGAAGATAATGATTATAATGATGATGAGAGGAGTGCAGAGAGAAGAGAGCAAACACTTTGACTGTCGGTTTATTTGATACTTTAAATAGATTAATTAATTCGATTCTTTTTCATTTTACAGATGTTGTACTTCCAACCGTCCTGATCGCTTTATTGTTCGTTGGAAATGCCATCATTGTCTACATTATATTCCAGTATAGAAAGAGGTAAGACATTATTTCTAAGAATATTTTCTTACGCTGTATTTGCTAATTATTTTTCTTCATTCGTGTCAAAAAAATAAAAAATTAAATGTCTTTAGATAAATCATTTAACATCTAATACAATTCTTGTCAATCACGACTAATTTATAATTTAATTATAAAATTAATTGAGAATAATATTAAAGAATTCTTTTCAATCTCTAAATAAAATTTTACAATAAAATTAAAATCATAATAAATTGGTATTATTTGCATTGAATAATTGTTTACAAGAAAAGATGTTAAATAATTTATATAAAAAAAAAGTAAGATAAAAATAATAAAAATATGAAATATATAAAATACATAAAAGAAAATGATCCTTTTTACAGAAAAATTCCAACGACAGAGCAAGGAGAAGAGTTGGCCCTAAGAAATACAGCGGATGTTCCACAAGTGTGATTCCAAAGGAAGAAGACTAATTACCTTTAATGTCAATTGTCGTTTAAGCAAAAAGTTAATCAAAGGCCTAGTTCGTATATATGTATATATATACACTTTGAAAGAATAAGAGGCGTCATTTAATAAAATGAAACACTCATTCTTTATATCTACGCAGATGCTAAGATGGTATACGCCATGGGAAACATAATACGTATAAATCCCTCTTCAAGAATTTTATTTTAAAAAAATAAGAAATAAGAACAGGAAAGATACAAAATAAATGAATAAATAAATTAATTAAAAATACTAATAAATTTAACGTTGCATACATGTATACTGTGAACATTAATTAGTACATATATATATACATATACGTTATTGTATGTGTAAACGAGTAGGATGTACTGCTGCCATGACATTGCGTATACTTTTAACGATAGTGCATTATAATGTAAAGAGAAATAATATATTCTATATTTCGTCCAAATTGTGAATAACTTATAAATAAAAAGAGATGTTTTCTTAAATAGATTAGGCTACTCTGACAAAAGAAAAAAGTAATTAATTTCGATTATAATTTTATCGTTTGTCTATATTCTAAGATTTCTTACATCAAATTACGAAATCTATAACGGACTAAAAGATGTTTAAAAAAAAATTCTTTTTTTTCTTCATATATAATCATAATACATTAGTACATACCATTTTTGTCTTACATTAAATCTGAAACATATATGTTAATAAATTCAACATTTTATTAAAAAAACATATTTTTTAAATCTTTTGTAAACCTGTGCAAATATTCAATGTTATATTTATTATGGACTTTTAAATATATATATTTCATATTTAGTATTTATATGTGTGCCTTCAGAAATGCATTTATACATATGTTATAAAAAGCAAGAGAAGAATCGAAAAGGTTTGTTGTTAAATCCAACGATGATCACCTGTAACAAAAAGAAAACTATATTAATCACACAATCAACTTATGCAATAGCCTGACATATTAATCGTCCAATTCGCAGATGCACTTTTTAATTAAATTCTCTATTTATTTTTATCAAATATCTATTTAACGTTACAATGAAATTAAATTTAAACGCGTGATTTTACATTTACAAAAAATAAAAAAAGTAAAAATACAAATATTAAGTTATTAGAGAAAATAATATCCATTAAATATTATGACTAATAATTTTAAACTGCATTATGTAGAAAAGAAAAAATTACAAATTTAATAAAATACGATCATAGTTAAAAATCTTAAAGACTAAACAAGAAAAGAGAAATTATTTGACTATTTACTGAACGTTATTTAAGCTTCAAAATTTAATAGTAACGAAATTTTTAATGTTGTTGATTCTAACTAAACACATATGCATCTTTTTGACGATATAGACACGAATTTGGTGTCCCAAGGAGATAGAATGGTCCATCATCTCCAATTACAACTAGAAATTAATGACGAGCAAAGAAGTAAAACACAAAAATATAAAATATGACTAGAGAGCCATTCTCTAAAGGTTCGAACTTGCTGTTGAACCTTTGAAAATAACTCARTAGCCTGTAGTTGCCCTCTTGAGCCACAATTAAGTGGGGGCCTCTTCGGCATTAAGCCTCTTCTTTCTTCATTCCATGAAAACTGCATTTGGACATTTCCTACGTGCGAGCAAGATAAGATCTTTCATACTAATTTTGCAAATCAACTCGTACTTTGTTATGACTCTAATTCTCAATTATTATAAAATTAATTTACATTTCGCGTTCATTTTTCTAGCTCGTGGACCATCAATGAACTTAGAGTTCATTGAGCATACACGAGAAAATTTAATCGAATGTCCAAGCAGATAATAATTTCCCTCGATGACCTAATAACACTTCGCACTTTTAACGTCGAATAATAAAATCGAATTGAAATAAATAATGCAATAAATGTAATGCATTTTCTTGCAATACCTTCATTTCATTAATATGTTATATTTAATCTATATCAAATATTTCCAGCTGTAAGAGGAAATCGCGATAGTGCGTAGTGCTAATCCTGAAATACTTAAAACTAAGTATCAAATRCATCAAAGAATTTGCGAATTTGATTCGACTCTATCTCGTTCGAGATAAAATCGAAGTAGAAATGAATCTTTCAAATRGTTGCAAATACCTTTGAATCATGATACATAATAAATATTACAGAATAGTCACAAAATAAATTAACAAATCAAGCATAAAAGAATGAGATAATCAAATTTTGTAACAATTCTGTATAAACCAGAAGGCGGAATTTCCACTCCGGAGTGGAAGCAAGAAGTCTAATGCCTTGCCTGGATCCTACCTACTTAAATTAAAGTTTTCACATTCATTCAGAGAAGTATGCTACCTGCCTGCCTATTACCCATATTTGTACCCATTTTAAGAAAAAACATACATACCCACCCACTTACTCCACGGTTCTCACACATACCACCAGGGTGCAAAAGCCTAAACTAGAGAGCATGCCCCGGGGCACCTCCGACACCCTAGTTCAACCGCGTATTTCTAAACTTATATTCTATAAGGTTACGTACCAGTTGCTGTAATCGTCTGCTAAGGCTAGTGATTATTGCAAATAAAACTACTGCAAAAATACAAGTATACACTATTATATATGCATACTAGTTATATACGTGTATGTTTCCATAAATAAATGTGAGTGACTCTACTATGCAAAACGATTATTAAACAAATTAGAAATATTTAATTTAAATATAAAAATAATAGTAGTGCTTTGAGTATTTAATGATGTATTAAATGAATAAAAAATATCGCGAAACGATGTACAATACACAATACCTAATACGCACACACAGGTGT